CAGCCACCACGGTGCAGCCTCTTCTCGTGGCGGCCCACCCTGTCACAGATGCATCTTCGAGGAAGACCGGCCACCCCCGCTGGGCCTGCGCACGCATACGGGACTGCCCAGCACTCCAACGAAGCGGCAGGCGCAGCTAGGACCCGTGTCTCCAGAGCCCAAGGAGACCGCCCCTCTAATCAGCACACTCGCTCAGTTCTGAGCACCTGTCTGGGCCCTCACTCAGCTGTCACTTGTCACTTAATCAGAGGTGGTGAGACGGCTCCTGCTTTGTAGATGAAGAGACTGGACTCAGAGAGTTCTAGAAGGTCACCCTAGCCCTTGCACCTTTCACCCTCCCTGAGCCAGAGGCGGGGCAGGTCTGACCAGAGAGCTCCCGATACAAGGCCCTGGGAGGACATGGGCTGAAGGTCTACAGCGTCGCCGCTGTGCCACCACCGGGTCTGACGCCTACACACATGGCTCCGGGTGCTGTGCACACTTGGAAAGCCCGGGGGACGGATGGGGCACACATGGGCAGTGGGAGTGGGCCTGCCCCCTGCCTCCCACTGCGGGTGCAGCAGCAACAGGAGAGCAGGGCGGGGCGGGGACGAGTGTCAGGAGGCTCGGCCTGCAGCAGCCTCCCCAGGTCCCGGCCCTTACCGTTGGTGTAGGGGTTCGCAGTCTTCTTGTTGGTCATGACTCGGGCGGTGGCATTGTTGACCTGTCCGGAGAGGGAGAGGGCACGGTGAGGGAGCACCAGCCTCCTCCCAGCCCCCTCCGCCCCGTCCTGCCTGGGCTATTCCTGCCCGCAAGCCTGCATGAAGGGCTTGGGGGCAGGGAAAGGGGCCCCGGGGCACTCAGGCTGTGGCTCAGCCCAGCCTCGCTGGCCTCCTCTCTGCCATGCTGTCCCCGTCCCGTGAGTCCGGGCACTCTGAGCTCCCAGCACGGGTCCCAGCTTGCCCATGCCGCGGGCCCAGACCTGGGCTCTTCCCACACACCGAGCTGCGGCTCCCCTCTGGCAACCTCGGCCTCTTGGAGGGCTCGTGGGTAGGCTCCCCACGAGTGTCCTGGTGGCCCAAAGACAGATGTCCTCCGTTGAGGACTGCTGATCCCCCAGGGCATGGGCACTGGGGTGCCCCCCCACTGCCAGGGTGGCAGCTCATTCCCTGAGTCTGAGTCTTCAACTGCTCTGCTTAGCACAGAGCTTGCAGATGGAGCATGTGTGCCAGGGGGCAAGGCTGAGGGGTGCAGGGGTGCCAGGGATGGGTCCTAATCCTACTCGTGTAAGCTCCGGGAAGGTGCCCAGGGCCAGCCTGGGACGTGGGAGACAGAGAGAGCCTGCATAAGAACCAGACAAGAATACGGCCTTCGGTGGAGCCCAGGAGGGCTCTAGGCTGCCTGCCCCATGTAAGCAGAGGGCTTTAGGCCACAGCTGTAGCCCTGGCTGAGAGCAGCCCACCTCGCCCTCAGAGAGCCCTCCCCTTGTCTGACAGCTGCCCCGGGGGCTCCACCTCTGCCGGCAGCTGCTCTCTTCCCACCTCCGGCCCCTAGGCTGCCCTGCCCTGGGAACCAGAGTCCAGCAGGGGGCAGCACAGGGCCACTCCTTCCCCAACTCCTCTTCCTGCTGTTTGTCTGGCTGGGTCCCTATCTCCCTGCTGACCCTGCTTCCACCCAAACAGGGCTGGGGGTGCTGAGGTGGGGCAACTGCAGGGGCGGTTGCTGCCCTGGTGAGGGCCTGGAGGATTAGCAGCTGCTCAGAAGAGCCAGCCCCCTCCCAGCTGATGTGCAGAGCAGGCCAGCACCATCTTCGAAGCTGCTGAGCCTCAAATACATGGTTATACATGGTTTTGAGGGCACCTCTTGTGGGTGTGAACAGGGCCTCCTCTAAGTAGTAGAGGGAGAAGACAGAGCAGGGAAGGGGCCCTGGGATGGCCCTAAAGCCTAGACCAACAAGCGGCGAGAGGTGACGGGTCAGCCGAAAGACAGATATGGGGGCTCTGGCCTCAGGGTGACCCTTCCTCCCGCCACAGGGGACCCTGGCTGGGCTCCCTGCAGGGCCTGGAGGCAGCAGTGCTGGCTGGGGGACCCGGGGTGACAGGGGTGTTCTCAGGGCCTCCCTGCCGCAGCACACTTATCTGAGCACCTCAATTTTCCGTCCCTCTACGATCGTCCCATTCAGCTTCTCCCGGGCTCGGTCAGCATCTGAGCTAGTTTCAAAAGTTACAAACCCAAAGCCCTGTGAGCAGAGGGAGGGGACAGACACGGAGAGAGACACAGGGTGAGAGAGAGAAAGTAGGAGGGGCAGGTGGGAGGGCAGGGCGCAGGGAGGGGGAGAGAGAGAAGGGCTTGAGTCAGGTGAGTTGAAGCAGAGACTGGGGCAGCCCAGGGGTCTGTCCTGGTGTCACCGTAGGAGGCAGAGGAGGGGTCTGGGCGCTGGGCGGGGGCAGCTGCTGGCCCGGTCTGAGCCCAGCCTGAGGTGACTACCTGACACCTCCAGATGAGCCAGAGCTGTGCCTGGCCAGGGCCTGCCACCTAGCCGCCTGGGTGGGGCACAGGCTGGGCTCCAGGACCTCAGGGGGCAGCCCACCCACCTGACCTCTTCCTGGGGAAGCAGTCCTTGTCCTTGCCTTGTACCCCCCTGCCGCCCACACTGCAGCCCCTCCCCCGAGCCCCTAGGCACTCCAAGGGCAGGCCAGAGCCCCCCCAGTGCGGGCAAGAGGTCCTGGCAGCTCGGAGAGTTAAAGCTCAGCAGTAAGGCAGATGGGCGGGCCGGGGAGGGCAAGCACCAGTCGCTCAGGGGCCCTGGAGCTCCGGGAGGAGACGCACACTCCAGCTAGCCCGGCAGGCCTACAGCGGCGCGCAGTGGTGGCGGCCTCCCTGCAGCACACACCTTGGAGCCCCGCTCGTTAAAAATGATCTCCACGTCTAAGATTTTTCCGAATTGCTGCAGAAACAGAGAGAAGGGGGAGATAGGAGAGGGCGGGTTAAGACTGCTGGCCGGCATCTGCTCCACTCCTGAGAAGAGAAGGAGCGGCCCTCCGTGTGGTCGTGTGGTGCTGGAGCAGGGCCAGCTCCAACCTTCTCCAGGAGCCGGCCCTCCTTCCCAGGAAGCGTCTCCAGCCAGGACGCTGGCCCCTGCTGCCGCAGGAGCTGCGCGGGTGTCCCCAGCATCCCTTCTGGTTTCCCGAAGGGACTCAGCTATAGGGATGACCACCCTAATTCACACTGAAGGGTAAAGGTCTACCCAGGGGTCCTTCTCCAGTAGACGGGAGGAGGGCCTAAGCCCCTGGGAGGGCCAGAGTTCCATGGGGAAAGCAGAGCGCTGGGGTGGGGAGACGGGTGGCACCATGGGGTGAAGGCCCTGGTGGGAAAGGGGCCCCGCAGGTACCCCTGAGATAGAGCAGGAGAAAGAAGGATGGTGAGGTCAGCCGAGGAGGTCTGGGGACACAGCATAGGGCTGGGAGGCCTTGTGCCCTGGCCATGCCTGCTATGTGAGGCAGGCCCACCTGCCCATCCAGGTCACCTCGGCCACGTGGACAAGACTCTCCAGATGTCACATTCCTGCCCGTCCCTGGCCCAGAGTCCCACCAGGGCAACCCAGCCTCCCACTGGCACATGAGGCTATGAACCTGTGACCGGGGTCCCGGAACGCCTGTGAAGTCATGACAGCGCTCTGTGGGAACCACCTGTGTAGGCAGCTGAAGGGGTGCCGCGAGGAGCCTGGTGGGGACGGAGAACAGCAAGTCCAGCCCTGCCAGGAGCTGATGCCCGCCAGTGCCCCCGTCCTTGGGACCCCGGGAGCTGATGCCCGCCAGTGCCCCCGTCCTCTGGGCCCCGGGAGCTGATGCCCGACAGTGCCCTGGTCCTCTGGGCCCCGGGAGCTGATGCCCGCCAGTGCCCCGGTCCTCTGGGCCCCGGGAGCTGATGCCCGACAGTGCCCTGGTCCTCTGGGCCCCGGGAGCTGATGCCCGCCAGTGCCCCGGTCCTCTGGGCCCCGGGAGCTGATGCCCGTCAGTGCCCCCATCCTTGGGACCCTGGGAGCTGATGCCCATCGGTGCCCCCTGTTCTCAGGGCCTCAGGGAGCTGATGCCCATTAGGGTGCTCCTCATCCTCAGGGCCCCAGGGAGCTGACTGATGCCCATTGGTGTCCCTGCTGTCAGTGTCCTATAAAGACTCAGGGAGCTGCTGCGGATCAAGGGTATAGGTCAGCTGCCTTATTGGAGGCCGGGTCCAAGGGTCAGAGAGGTTTGGCAAGTGCCCGAGCCCCAGGTTACAGGGGACTGAGTCCTCATTTATGATTCTAAATGCTGCCAGCCTCCCAGGGAGTTCAATCTCTAAACCCACTGAGGCCCTGGTCCCCAAACAGGGAGTGGAGGTCCCCTCATAGGGTAGGTGCTGGCACTTGTTTGTCCTGGGCTGCTCTGGAGGCACCTCCGCAGGCATCTGACAAATGCCAGCCAGGTTGGGGTGGCATAGGGGAGAGCTGGGATTCAGGAGCCACAGGCTGCTGGTGTGTGGCAGAGTGGAGGTGGGCACACAGCAGGCGGGAGGGAGGAGCTCGGGGTGCAGAAGGGCTGGGGAAGAGAAACTAGGGCCAGACATACCGTCCTGCAAACAGGTCAGCCCTGGGGCCCCGGTTGCATCACGCCAGGCCGAGCCGTTGGTGCTGCCTACCAGCCCACCTGCCCACCAGCCCCAGAATCTGGGCATCTGCACCTGCCAAGTGCCCTCGTTAGCGAGGGAACAATGCAAGTGCAGGCTGCAGGGCAGCCCTGCATGCTCGTGCCATAGCCTGGGGCGGGACCCCACAGTGCCAAAGCAAAGACAGAGCTGAGACTCTGGGGGGAAGTCACGAGCTTGCTCTTGTCACTGCGTTGTTTCAGGTTGCCACCTGGGGAACTGGGGAGACATGGCCGGAGAGGCTGAATCCCCAGCAGGGACAGGAATAAGGAAGCCAGAACAGGAGAGCCGGAATCATACTCCCTCCCTGCTGAGCCCCTAGGGGACTCTGGCGGCAGTGGAGTGACAGGTGGATTTCCGGCCAGGGCGCTGGGGGCAGGTGGAGGGCCAACAGCCTGCTCCCTGGGTCTGAGCCCAGGCTGAGGCGAGAGCGCTGCTGCCCCCAGGGAAAGTGCAGGATGCTGGGCCTGTGGGGCAGGCTCGCTGTGGGGCACTGCTGTAACGTGCTTGTGTGAGGGACACGACGGGGGCCCATGCACACTCACCCCAAACATTTGCCGCAGGTCGGGGTCCCTGAATCGGAAGGGGATGTTGGAGACGTGTAGCCGCTTGGGCTGCTGCTTCTCTGCGGGGTCAGAGGGGTGGAGTGGCTGGCTGTCCGTCTGTGCCGCCTCGTCTGTCTGCTGTGGGACGACAGGCTGTGAGCCAGGCCGGCGCACCTAGCCTGCCCATCCCTTCTGCCAAAGGAGCGGAAGGTCAGATGCTCCCCAGCCCACCCCTGGGCCCGGGACCCTCCCAGATCTGAGCAGGCCATCCCCAGCGGACAGGGAATAGGAATGTCTTGCCTGCAAGAACCCCTCCCTCCCAGCCTTTGCCCACACAGTGCCCGTGACCCACGCCTCCTGCCACCCCAAAGCAAGGCTCCTTGGCCTGGCTGGATCTATGCTCCTCCAGCTCGGAAGCTGCCCCTCAGCGGCTGTACAGTGTTCCCAACTACTACTGTTCTTGAGTTCTGGGCGCTGGAGACCAGGCTCCCAAGGTCTGGCCGGAGTAGGGAGATTTTATGTGGCTGTGTGGCAGAGGTGGGCACAGCAGGTAGGAGAGGAGAGAGGGAGGAGAAACCACGCCCAGGCGTTATGGTGGTCTGTGGCCAGGGCAGCCCCACGAGCCCAGGTGCTCTCGTCAGGCCGCAGGGCAGCCCTGCACGTTCTCACCGTAACCCGGGGCAGGCTGGGCCCCACAGGACTAGTGCTCTCCCCAGGCACACACACCCGCAGGGACTTCCCCTTTGCAGAGGCTCAGCACCTGTGGGACTGCCTCCAGACACAGCGTGACCAAAGCCACTCCTGTGGCTGCTCCACACCTAGACCCAGACCCAGACCCAGACCCCAGGCCATGGGTTCTGAGAACACACCGTCCGGGCCACCTGGCCTGGCTCCCCATGACGAGGCGGGGCATGGACCAGCACTGGTGGCCTGGCCAACATCTCCCGCCCGCAGCTCTCCGGTGCTCCCTGTGAGCTGGCCTTGAGCCCCTCCAGCCCCAAGTCCCTCTGAGCAGGCACCCTCACAGTACCGCTGGGTGGACATCTGGATATCGGCACAGCGGCCTGCTAACCTGGGGACATTCCTGTTCTCGTCCCATTGGCAAGACAAGAGAGCAGTCCGAGTGTGAGTCCGGAGGGGCTGGTGACACACAGGCGGGGGATGTACACCCGGCTCCCACTGCCCCAACTTCTTCCAGTAGGCTCAAGCCGAGCTGCCCTCGGGGGAGTCAGGCTGAAGAAGCATTTCTTACTAGCTTCCGTCCCTCTCCTGCCTCGGTTTCCTGCTGCCTTGGGATTCTGTGGCTTGTCTCGGTCTGATCTGGGATGACACCAGCTGGTAGGGGACTCCGGCCAAGCCGACTCCAGCCCTCTGGAGCAGACGTGGAGGGCTGAGCCCCGGGGCCTGTGGGAGGTGCACAGTGGCTGTGACAGGGCTGTGGTCTCCCGTGTGGCCTGTGCTGTGGAGGCAGTGGCCCAGCTGTGGGAGGAGCTCCTTGGGCAGCCTCCTAGCGTGGGTGCGGCAGGCAGAGCAGGGGAGCCCATGGCCCAAGCCTCACCAAGGCCAGCTCACAGGTAACCGGCGGGGCCAGCGTGACTCTGTCTCAGGGCTGTTCAGCTCTCCCTGCCCCCGAACAATCTTGTATTCTTTCTAGAAGGACGAGCCAGTGAGCCCCTCTGTCCCCACCAGGGAAATGGCAGGAGGACCCAGAACCTCGCTGGTGTCCTGGGGGTAAGCAGCTAAGGCCCCCAAAGAGAGCATGTGTCCTCCAGCCCTGGCCAGCTGTTCTTTGGGGTACGCCACTAAGAAACACCCACCCACCTGCCCAGATCTGTCAGTGGGAGCCAGGTTCTGGCAGGGGCATCTGTAGAAAGCAGCTAGAGGGACAGGCGGGTGGGCAACTGGCCCTGGAGACACCCAGTCTGCCTGCATCGGCTCCCCACTCAGGTCAGCAAGTCGGCGGTGAGCTGACTTGGGCTCGACGAGGCACATGGCGGAGCCTCCACCCTCTCAGCAACCTCGAGGAGCCCTGGGCCAGGTCTATGCATGCCCCCGTGGCCCTGACCTTACAGAAGCAATCCTGGGTTGGACTCCAGAGGGCTTGCGTGGACGCTGGCCTGAGCCCTCTCTAGCCACGGCAGGCAGCGCTTTCCTCTTAGGGATCTGTGCAGTGGTCACACTGGGCGCCGTTCCCTGCTCAATCCGCACAGCGCATCCCACACACCTGAGCTCGCAGCCGGCTGGGGCGCAGCTGACTAATGCCTGGATTGGGGCATGCGATAGGGGCCTTCGACCAGCAGAGGGCAGTGGACAGCACGGCCCTGTGGCCAGGACGGGACCAGTCTGGTTCCCACGAGAGCTGCTGAGAATCCCTCCTGGCCAGGGAGGGGACCATGAGGTGGCGCTGGTGGGATTGGGGCACATGAGGCTTGGGCCTCCTGCACTGCATCCCACCCCAAAGGGGGGCAGCAGAGGGGGCCGGGGCACACACCCCACAACTTTTCTGTAGACTGAGGCAGATAAATGGGTCCGGGGCTGTAAAACTGTACACCTGTGCGGAGAAACCCTGGAGCGTAAACACACACCAGCTGCCCCTGCGGGGAGGTGCAGCTCCACCATTCACCTCCACCGCCCTGCTGCCTGGGCACAGGGCTCTCACCTGCCCCCCTCTTTTCTAGCAATCTTTGCCTCCAGTTCTCAAGTGAGGGGACACCCCCTTTTCTCCCTGCTGGTCTTCGAGGCTTGCCGCGGCCTGTCCCAGGCATTGTGCACCCTGGCAGCGTTCAAGGCAGGGGCCAGCTCCTGGCGGGCTGGGCAGGGTCTGGGGCCCTGGTGCATCTTCCCTCCTCCACTGAGACACCTGTACCCACCTGGCCCTGCCCTCTCCAAGCTCAGCACACAGAGAGGGCACCAGCCTGTCCGGTGGGCCCTGGGCAGTAGGCGGGACCAGGTGGTGTCATCACCGGGAGGAGCCGAGCTTTGGGGATGCGGCGCAGGGTGAACTGGCTCCTCGAGATCTCTTCTTGCCTCCCATCCTGCCACAGAGACCTCTGAGCCCTACCCAGCTAGTCCCCAGTGGGTGGCCGGTGTCTGGGCGCGTCTTTTCCAGCCCCAGGCTGCCTTTTGGGTGGGCCGTGCACCCACTTCGACATCAAGTGCCAGGTCTCCTGGGCACCTCTGTAGCCGCGCTGCCGTCTGGCCAGCTGAGCTGCCCGATCCACGCTGCCTCCCTGGTGGCGCATCACGGCTCAGCTCACCACGGCAGGGTCGGGGCTGACACCTCTTCTCCCTGCCTTCCTCACACCACGCTCCTCAGGGCAGGGCCGCAAGGCCTGCGGTTAAGGCTGAGCAGGCCTGAGCCTTAGGTCAGAAAGGTGGGGGAGTCTGTGGGGAAGCTCAGGCTGGAGACGGGAACAGGACAGAGGGTTAATGGCTGAGCTGTCCCTGGGCAGAGGGGGCCTGCTGCTCAAAACTGGAGCCTGCGGTGAAGCCAGAGGTAGGCAGGCACAGATCCCCAGCCGGGGTGGGGTAGGCGCTGGCCCCTCAGGCCCATGTGGTCCCTCTGGCAGAGGAGCCCAGAGGTGGGCACAGGCATGTCAACACCTCCTCCGACTTGGGTGACACTGGCCTCAGCACCCTCTCTCCACCTGGCCAGGCCTCCAAAGCAGCCCCCCGTGCACTGTCCTGGTACTTTCTACCTGCACACCTGTCTCAGTGTACCGAGCCTGCTGGCCCCAATGCCGGCGCCGGCGGCCCCGAGTGACCACAGCCCCTGGGGTGTTGCCAGCAGAGAGGTGGGGTCCTGGCCCCTCCTCAGTGCCATCACGGTCTGCACCCCTGCTGCCAAAGGTCACCGAGGTAAGGGGGTAGAAGTGGTGTCCTTGCACAGACATCCCAAGCCCTCGTGGCTTCTCCTCCCTGACCCTACAGGGAGGGCCCCGTGTCCCTGGACAGTGAAGAGATCTGGTCAGAAGTGGACCTCTACACGGAATAAGCAGCTGTTCCAGGTCGTGGCTGCAGCTGGAAGGTCACTGGCCAGTCAGAACCCATCCTGTGGGTGGCAAGGCTACGAGGCTTCAGTTGGAGCCCCTCCTTCCATGGGATCCCAAGGTCCTGGCCCTTGGCAGTCACGGTGGTGACCCCCCAGTGCCTCTGTGACAGTCCCCAGGGCCAGCCGTGCCACTGCTCCTCAGGGGGATTGGCACCCTGCCTTGGTGGCAGGAATGCTCCTGAAGTGGCCGGAATGTGACTCCCCATTATGTGCATCTGGAGCCCTCTGGAGGAAGGCAGCGAAAACAGAGACCTGGTTGTTCAGAAATTCCGGGAAAGTCTCTGCCCAAGCCAGAGCCGGATGTGCCCACCAGCAACAACCACCAGGGATGATGGGGGTGCTGGCCTGGCTCTCAAAGCCCTGCCTCCCTGTTGGACCTGGCCATGCACCTTGCCAGGACGGACCATGGCCTTGGGAGAGAGGGCAGGAAGGCCTCCAGGCTAGTCAGCGTCTGGTCCCCAGAAAGGCCAGAGGCTGCATGTCTGCCCAGGCCTGACAGGAGGCATTTGAAGGGGCATTCTCTCGGGAGGTCTTTAGCGGGGCTGGGGGAGGAAGGATCCACTACATACGGACCCTCAAGCATCCTGGCAGATCAAGGGGCACAGGACAGGTCTGGACTGGAGCCTAGAGCCTGTTCACCCGCTGCTCCCATTCCGGCTTGATCCTAAGGCCAGGCTGCCTGGGAAGGTTCAAGAGGCTCAAGTGAGCTGAAAGGGCCCCCCATCACCCACAAGGCCAGGGCCTAGGGACACGTGGCTTGGGGTAACTGCAGGGCTCGGCAGTGGCCGGGCTGCCCAGGGAGGGCACCCGGGAACCTCCATTGCTGTGTGTTTCTGTCCCCTGTGGGGAGGGCCCTATGGGCAGCTCTGGGCTCTTCAGGCCTTGCCGCTACTGAGCTGCCCAGCAGCTCCCATGCATGGCCAGTCCACACGGAAGGACGCAGAAGCCCTGCGGCACCCCCCGACCCCTGCAGACCTGAGCTCTAGCATAAACAGAGGCTCACCCAGCTCTGGGGCCCCCTGGGCCTTCCTGGGGGGCACAGAGGGCTGCTGACTAGACTCTTACTCTCTGGCTGGGAACCCCCACCTTGGACACAGTGTTGGCCTCTGCAGCAGCTACCACTCACACCAGGCCCCTCTCCACGGCCCATGGACTCTCACAGGTGGCCTCGCCTCCGGCCTCTCCTTCTAGCTTTGCTGTCCTTGCTGGGTGGGAACCAGAGGGCAGGGCTAGGCCATGTCTCCTTCATCCCTTCGGTGCTAATTCCATGCCTGGCACACAGTAGGCGCTCAGGTAACATCTGCCACACCAATGAGGACTATGTCTTGGTAGGTTGAGTCTAGAGGCCCCGGGGTGCCGTGGCGGCCCCACTCTGTGTCATCTGCCACCCTGACGGTCTGCATGTACCAACTGCTGGGACACATGCACCAACTCACTGCGGGAGACCTGTCATTGGTTCAGGAAGCTGTCGGGAAGAGGTCCAGCCCACTGCTGTGACCTGCTTAGAGCGAACCCTCCGCTCCTGGGATCCACTGTCCCGAGCACACACGGGTCGTGGGTGTGGTGCACAGGAGCCCGGGCAGCAGGATCCCGGCTCTGCAGCCCTGGGCGAGGCTTTTCCATCTGCGTCCTGTGCGGGAAAAGCCAGGGCAGCATGGGGACAGGCCAGGGACCAGGATGCTGTAGGCATGGAGACATCTACCCCATGGCTTTGGACAGACCCAGGCAGTCAGTGCTTCAGGCAGGGAGGAAGGGCACTGGCTGGGCTCCATCCAGAGCTTGGGCATTGCTGGGGGAGTCCCTGCCCACGTGGGGAGAGAAGTAGGTGGCACCTGAGTCCATGCATCTTGGGAGCCGGGCTCGACTGCAGGAAGAGTCAGGGAGCACAGTGGGGGACTGACAGGAGGCCTCCAGGGCCGTGCCCCCCGCAGGTGGGCAGGGCGCACTGGTCTAGACTGGCCCCTGCCTGCTGGCCACAGCTAAGCCAGGGCAGGGATGGCTGTGTATGCCCAGAGCCCTAGAGGCGGATGGACACCAGGCCCAGGGAGACCGCGATGGAGGCCAGGCAGGGGCTGGGGTGGGAAGAGGCAGGCTGTGCGGCTGCCTGGCCTGGGAGAGGGGCTACCTGGAGAAGGAGCCCCCCCCGGCTGGCCACTCCCCACCTCCTCCTCCACTCTCGGGGAATCCGAGAAGTGCAGGGCTCAGCACTTTCCCTGGAGCTGCATTACAACCACATAATTGAAGGTATCTGATTGGAGGGCAGCCAAGCAGGTAGATTACAAGCGATTAGAAATGATAGGTGGGCTTGCAGCCCCAGACAGCTCGGGGGCCCAGGCCGCCGCCGCGCTCGGGTTTGCCCGCGACCTGGTTCAGCCTCACCATTGCCCTCTCTCTCCATGAACAGGTCATGAGGACAAGCTTCCCACCTCCCAGCCAGGTGGGCGAGGTGGGAGCCTGCCTGCAGCCAAAGCCCGCTCGGGCAGCCAGAGGTGGACAGGGTTGCCGCCCTGGCTCGGGGCCTGGCTGTGCCCTGTGGTCCCTGCTCACCACGAAGGTCCTCAGCGCCCGATGAGAGTCTCGAAGGCAGGGCTGGGAGCTCGTTGCCGGGGGGCCTGCCCCCCACTCACACAGGCCCCTCCGTGTCCCCTGCGGCAGGCCTTCCTGGGCAGAAGCTCCTCCCCGAGCTCCTGGCTGGGCTGGCCTGGCAGGCGGTGTCTTACCGGCACTGTCTGGGTCCCGGTGATGGGCTGCGTGCTGGTCTCGGCACCCGGCTGTTCGGGGAGGGTCTGTGCTGGTGTGTACAGGGTCATGCCGTGCTCTGGGGGGGCCGGGGTCTGGCCCGAGTAGTCTTGCGTGGGGTGCGGCGGGGGTGGGGCATACTCGGTGGGGATGCCGTTCTGAGGCGGAGGGGGGTACTGGGCAGGGGGGTAGGGTTGGGCCATTGCTTCTGGTGGAGCCGTGGCGTCCTGATTGCCCTGTGGAGGGAGAGAGAACAAGGCCTGTTAGAGTCCAGCCCCCAGAACAGTTCCAGAAGTCTCCGTGGTGCGGAAGGGCACTTCCAGCGGCAGCATCCCGGGGTCCCTTGGTGGGCCTCCCAGGTGGGATGGCAGCTCCGAGCTAAAGGGGGCAGCAGGCGCTCGGTCCAAGGGGGTGCCTGCACCCACACCCTCGCCCTTCATAGACCCGAGGACCTGACTTAGGACTTATTTATTTTTTAAAGGTTTCTGCCATAGAGCACATGTGCTCGCTCACCAGAGAGATGGTGAGAGACAGCGACAGGGAAAGTGAGAACTCACGCCCCAGGGGGATGGCCACGCCACAATCCAGTCTCCTCCATTCTCCTCCTGGGATTTTGGGCATGTAGGTACACACGCCCGGGATGAATTTCAAGCTATCAGTTTCAGGACTTGAACCACGGTCGGCCATATGGGAGTCCAGCACCTTAACCACCACGCCATCTGCTAGCCCCCACTTTGGGGTTTAAAAGCCTTGATTTTCTTTTCTTTTTCTTTTTTTCCCTTTGAGAGATGTTTGCTATAGAGAGACAGAAGTGAGAAGTCATGCTCTGGGGGGATGGCCACGCCGCAGTCCCTTCTCCATTCTCCTCTCGGGGTTTTGGGACCTCCAGAGTGCGTGGCGTGAGTGTGAAGCTGTCAGGTCTGGGACTTGAACCGTGTTCGACTACTTGGGAGTCCAATGACATACCCACTCCCCCACCTGCTGGTCCCAGCCTTCATTTTCTCACTGGGAAGCACAAGAGCCACCTCGAGGATCCTGTGGCACGCAGTGTCTGAGGCCAGGGTACAGAGGCCGACCGTGGGCCCTGGCAGCCCCAGCCCCACGGTGGCCACCACTGGGCAGAGCGCCTGTCTCGAGGATCCCTGAAGTCTCCCAAAGACCATTCCTGGCTGGGGAAAAGCCCGCTGGACGCTGACCCGGCCACGGCACGGGCGTGCAGAAGCCCCGACAGGGCCCCGAGGCAGTGGTTCTCAGTGGGGTGCCGGCCTGCAGCTTTGCGTCACCCGGGAGCTCATCACGTCAACGCAGGCTCAGCCCACCCACCTGCCTCTGCAATCCAGGTGCTCACGAGAACCAGCATGTACAGCCCAGTGGGTCCTTCTGCCCCAGAGAAGTGGCAGGGACCTCCATGGTGTCAGATGAGGTGCAGGTGGAGGAGGCAGGCACTACCCTCAGCAGGTGTGCCTCGACCCCGGGTGTCTGAGCAGACGGCAGATGGCATGGCTCTCTGTAGCAGAAGAACCTGGCACCGATGGGCAGGCCGACACTTGGCCACCAAGGGGGACAGGCAGGACAAGGCAGTCCCATGGAAGGGGCTTGCTGAATGCTTGCAAGGCCGCTCTGTGGGGAAGTGGCCACTCACCTCCCAGCAGCCTCCTCCTGGGCCTAAGGCACTGCTGGGGCCCAGACCACGTGTACCTGCCCCACACCATGGATATAGTGTCACCTCCTGGACACCTGCACCAGGCTGCGGCTGCCCGTGGCTGTCTCCCGCCTCCCTGCATGTCCGTATGCCCCCTGCCTGGCTCCTGGCCTCAGCCTGGCTGCCTTAGCCTCTGCCTCCAGGGTCCCCCCTCATGGGCACCCTGCTCCCCCCGACAACACCCCCCGACAACACGTTTCCTATCTTCTGCCCACCTTCTGCGCTGTCTCATGGTGCTCCCTCCAGACATCACGCTGGGTTAGCCTTCGTTTAGCTCCCACCTTTCACCCACAGCGGACCACCCGCCAGGCGGGGCTGCTGGGGAGCAGGACAGGCAGCCCCCACCCCTGGGCCTGCGGTTGGTGGGGTGGGGCGGGGGACAGACAGCACTTGCTGGGTGTCGAGCACTTGCTGGTGCTAGGCCCCCGCAGGGCGCAGCTGCAGTGGGTGAGTGACCCGAGGCCGATGATCTGCTTCAGGCCAGCCCCCACCCCATCTGCCAGGCCATGGCTCTCCAACTCTGCCCAAGGGCCCAGCTGGACGGTAGGATCTGGCTGGTCCAGCCCTGCTCTGCCCCCCACTCCTGGTGCCCTGGGGGAGAGGGGCCATCTCAGTGCCCACCCCCCGGGACTGAGCGGGAGCGTAGCCTGTTATCCTCCCGGCTCCCCCTCAGCAGCCACGGTCCCTTCCCTCTCTGCAGAGACCTGTGGAGCTCCCGACACCAGAGGAAAACGACATACACACGCAGTCACTCCCGAACCTGCACCCCCTCGCTGGAGGGTCCACCTCATCGCTGCAGCCTCACAGCCAGCCTCACTGTTGGCAATGGGTCAGGGATGGCAGGGCTGCAGCGAGGCGGTGGTGGGGCGGGCGGCACACCCACCCTCGGCAAGGGGATGGCCAAGAGAGGGAAGGAGGCTGCAAAGGCAAGAGAGTGAGGAGGGAGAGCGGGAGGGCTGGGGTGGGGAGAGCCCTGCCGCCTCTGGCAGTCACCGGGGCCCCCAGCTGAGAGGGCCCTCACCAGCTCACCGTAGTCCCCATGAGGCGGGGCGGGGAAAGGGCGCACTCCCTCCCATCTGCCTCCTTCCCTCTCTGCCCACACCCCCAGGGCCCTCCTCCCTGGTCCCACTGAGGACTGAGGGACAGCTGCCAGTCATGCCGGAGCCCAGAGCTCAGGGCTAAAGGGCGAGTCGGGGGGACCTGTGGACATGAGGTGGGGGTCCCCGGGCGGTGTGTGCCAGAGTCTGGAGGGGGCTGAGCTCGGCAAGATCTGTGAAGTGCAACATGGCAAGGATGTCTGAGGCCGCAGCAGGACAGACGCTGGAGCACGTGGGGCTGTGTCCAGATGCTAGGTCATGTGACCCCAACCCCACACGCGATGCCACTGCCTCCCCATTTCACGGCCAATAAACCGAGGGCCAGGGCCACTTGCCAGGCTAGGGACAGCTGCCCAGGCGCCCTGTCTGCACCTCCACTCAGAACGGCAGCCCTCCCCTCCGACAGCAGTCCTGTCCTGTCGGAGAGGAGGCTCCATGGCCAAGTCACGGCCCAGACCCTGGCACGCTCAGGATGGGCTCAACCACTGGTGGCTCTGGTGACCACGTGGTCTCTCTGCAGAGGTCTCTTCTTCTGCATGGTCACCATGTGCTCCTGGGCTGTTCGGGCATTCCCTCTGTGCCCCGCTGGAGCTGGCCGTGGCACTGAGTGTCAGGTCTGGCTCCACATTCCAGTCACCTGGAGAGCTTTGCAAACGGGCCTCCCCGAGCAGTGCAAACAGGTTCCCAGAAGGTGCGGACACCAGCCCTGCGCAGAGCCCTGGGCCCTCACGAGGCTGCGTGACCAGGCTTTGTCCCATCCTCCTTCCTCTCGGGCCTGCCGGGGCCAGAGGCAGTGCCCAGGCTGGGCAGTGTGAGCTGAGTCCCCGCCAGACATGGGGTGTACAGCAGATGGCCTCACTGTGAAGCAGCTTGTGAAACTGGTTCCCGGGAAAACGTGGAGACCACCTAGTTCTCCTGTTCTTGCACCCCATTCTTGGCAGACCCCGTTGCACTTGGAACCATCTTGAAGCACATGAGTGGGTGGGTGGCTGGCTGGACAGATGGAGGGACGGACGGGGGGAAAAAGATGAGGGACCGCTGGGTGGAGGGTGGTTGGCTGGCTGGGTGGGTGGGTGGATGATCTAACAGCCACGGCC